TTGGTGTTGTATATTTTAATTATCTGATTAGATGATTTTTGCGGGTTTTTTGCTCATTAACACAATGAAACTTTAGGGTTTTTTTCCCCCTATTTAAACACTGTAGTACATGTGAAGTATTAAAATGAATGACAATTTCTTGTTTACATAATATTGTGCTTCTGAAGCAAAGATTGATGTCAGAGTTTTCTAGATTATATACAGTTCAAAAATTTTCCTCAGAGGACACGTAAAAAACTAAACCACACACACACACACACACACACACACTCACACATTCCTCATAGACAGTTTGTACTTCCTTTGACTTCCAAGTTCTCCTTCCTTCCTGGACTGTCAGTTTATCTTGTCTGTGCTTTTAGCTTCCTTTTTCACTGAGTAAAGGCTTTCACTTCACTGCACCTGTTACTACTTTCCATTCCCTTTGCTGCAACATCTGCTATTTGCAATTCTTTCTCTACTTTTCAGCTTTCTTGTCTCTTTTTACTTCTTGAATTTCACTCAGAAAGTTCATACTTTTATAAACATGCTAATCAAAGTACTTTAGTTTGGCAAAGCAACTAGTCACAGAGGATAGGGCATTATCTTTAAATATTTGACTTTTCTGGCTGTTTGTTGCTGCTTACTATTCAAAAGGTTTTCACCACTTAGAACAATCCTAGTTACTGTGAACACCAGAAAAGTAGTGTTTGGATAANGAAAAAATAATAGAACAACAACTTCTTTTGGATCAGCTGAGTGAAGAACTAACAAAACTTAACCTGTCAATGACTTCTTCAGCTAAGGAAAATTGTGGAGATGGGCCAGATAGCAGGATCCCTGAAAAAAGACCATATACTCTACCATTTGATACTGTTTTGGGACATTATATTTATATCCCGTCGAGACAAGATTCCAGGAAGGTAAAGTCAAAACATTAATCTTTTTTTATTTTGAGATTTTAAAAAATTATATATAATATAATGTCACAGTGTATTTGTACAGTCTCAGAAGTTTTTATCTGTTTGGTTTCATGGACTTGTGTGTGTATACCTTTTCTTTAAAGCATGCTTCTGTTTAATAAAAAAATTAATAAACAAGAGAATTCATGATTATATTTGGAGGGAATAGTTGGATGAAGATAATGTCTACACTTCATCAAGGAGAAGAAGCTATTCCTTGCAATCATATTTTCAGACATGATTAAGTTTGCTTTTTTAATGATATTTTTTCTTTTAACATACAAAGTGGAGATGAGGTTAGACAGTATTTATTTTGACTTATTTGGCCTGTCTTATTATTTTCCAAGTGACATTCATGTATCATTCAGTCTTGTCAAGTTGGCATAGTCAAGATGGTATAATGATAGGTATGAAATTTAGTTTTAATTTTTATTTATTTATAAATGTGTGGGTGGTTAACCCTATGCACACACAGATTTCTCTTGAAGAATTATTAAGGAATCTCAGCAGAGATTTCTACTTA